GCTTAGGGAGAGGGAGGAAGGGGTTGTGAGGATGAAGGAAGAGATGGAGAACCGGGAAAAGGAGAGACTCGCTCTGGAAACTGCAGAGATACAAACCCTCCAGAGAATGCTAAAGAGGCTGGAGGAGCAGGTAGATGAAGAGGAGAGAAAGCGGAAAGATGCAGAAACAAGGGAGTCTGCACTGAAATCCGAGGTCGAGGAGCGAAGCAATAGGGTGAGGGATTTGCTGGCAGAAGTCGAGAATGTAAAGGAGAGAGGTCGTCAGGACAGAGAGGACTTTGAGAGACAACTTAGGCAGAGGGAGGAGGAGGTTGCGAGGATGAAGGAATGGATGGACAGAAGCGACGAGAGGTTGATCTTGCAAACTACAGAGACGCAAAACCTTCAGAGAATGCTCAATGTGATCCAGGAGCAGGTAGGTGAGGAGAAGAGAAAACGGGGGGAGGCGGAGAGAAGGGAGTCGGTGCTGAAAGACGAGATTGAGAAGCAAATCAAGAGGGCAAGAGATTTGGAGGAATCGCTGCAGATGCAGCTCACTGCTGAAACCCAGCGAGCAGCAGAGCTAGAGTCCATGTTGAATGCTGAGCGGGCATCTAAATCTGGCCGCGGTAGAACAGTGCGTTATCTACGGAGGAGGAGAGTTGTGCGGGGGGGGAAGGTTGTGGCCGACGAGACGACAGAAACCGATCGGCTGGTTGATGCGGATGGCCAGGATATGACTGGTTTCGAAACCTTAGACGCCTCACCCGCTAGAGGTCCTTTCATCACTGAAGTAGAGACTTCAGCAATTCAAGAAGCGAAAGGCGGCTTTCAAAGCATGCTTTTGGCGCAGGAGGAGGCAAAGAGCCCGGCGAAGGAAGGAGACAGGAAGACAGAAGGTTTCGAGCCTGAACTAAACGCTGCATAAGTCCGGACCCGTCCTTGTCCAACATCTCTACTTAAGCTGCAGCAACAGATAGACCCGGGGGGGAACCGTTCGGCTGGTTGATTCGTATGGCAATTGGGCAACTGCTTCGGCATCCAAAGAATCCTCAGCTGATAGATGATGTAGAGATGTCCACACTTCACGCGGTGGCAATGGGCCCTACCGGAAGTCATCGCATCTATCCCTTTATTTGGGGTCCAGGTTGTCCTTGAAGGCCCCACCTGCTATAAGGGGGATGGGGTTGCTAAGAGACAAGAAGCCAGGGATGGCCTTCATAGTATGCTTTTTATACTGGAGGAGGCAAAGGAGCCAGCAGAGAGAAAGTGAGAACAAAGCAGAGGGGGTTGGGGCTTAACTAAATGCTGCATAAGCCGACATAAATGGACTGTGGACCCCTCCACTTAAACCGCCAGCACATTGCCCAGGCAAACTTGAGAATCGAAATCGAGCCAATCCAGAAATCTCGCAGGCTCGGGGGTACCGGTCCGAAACGGCTGGCGCCGCGAGCCAAAAGAAAAGAAAACTTGCTGCTCCGGCATTCCGTCAAAGCTTGGCGCACAAGGGGAATCTGCCTCAGCAGAGACTGGGATGTACTGGTGGTTTTAGGTGCAGCAGACCAGATCCACGCCAGCAGGCTGCGGCCACGTGAGGAGGCAGGTGAATTCAAAAACTGTAGAAAGCAAGACCAGACGGCAGGGAATCAATGCCATTGTCTCAGGGTCCTTCATCCATAATGAAAGGAAGAATTTGGGGTGTGTCGTCTTTGTAAGGGAGGCTGGACCCAGTTTCCAGCACATATAGTAAAGCTGGATCTTTGTTTATTTATTAAAAAAAAAAAAAAAAAAAAAAAAAAA